TGCAGCTTGAGGAGTACCTGTTGAGTGGAGGATTATTCTGGTGGGCACAGACGGATCCTTGTATCTTATCGTTAGAAGTTTATTTCAATTCCGCTGTTTAAATTCCGCACTCTGAACTTGGTATTATAATAATGTATTTCTGAGAACTCTTGATGTATGAAATGGATTAAGTATTGTAAACTCGTTCTCATTATTGGATCCTGGAGGAAAAACGTGGATTGTTCAAGTTCTCCCTTAGGGTGTGCTCGATGGAACTGTCCGATGCAGCTTGCTTTCGGGGTGCTTAGTGTCTCATGGAAGACAAGCGCCTCCGAAGGTGTGTTATTTCAGATGGTTCTGCCACAGGCACGGTCAACGCCGAGGCTAGCGCCGCCGCGTCGGAGGGAGTAGAGCCCGCGAGGGAGCAGCGCCCGCCCCGCCGCGAGCGGAGAGAGGAGACGTCGGGGAGTGGCCGTGAGGATGAAGAGGGAGGGGTTGAGTTGATGATGCGTGGGCCCCACATGTCACTGAGATGGAGGTCAACGCCAGCATGCGCGTGGTCAAAACCGCTTCACATGGGATAAAACAGCCCCACTCGCGCCTAGGTGCTAAAAGTGAACGGTTTTGATAGTTGGGGTACTAGCATTAGACGGTTTTATAGTTAAAGGTCAAAATTAGACGAACCCAATAGTTGAGGGGCCAAAAGTGGACTTAGTCCTAAAAAAATCAGGAATGCTAAACACCACACGGGTGTTTTAGCACCTACAAACACACGATTTTTTCCGTGTCTCTACATGATGCTCCGACCGACTCCTCCCCTCCGCGCTCCCGTCCTCCCCTCCACGTGTTCTCTCTCTCACCGGCGACAGGACCGGCGAGCTCCTCCCGGTGCCTGCGCCTCCTCGCGCCCAGGCGACGGCGCCACGCGCAACTCCCGGCCGGACCAGACCTCCGCCGCCGCCCTCAGGCTGGACCTCCGTTGCCGTCTCCGCCGCGCCCCAAGCCGGACCTCCGTCGCCGCTCCCACGGCACGGCCGTGCCGTGACCACTTCGCCGCGATTTGTTGCTTGTGATATGTGCCGACACAGCCGCGATTTGTCCTTGTCCTTCCATAGAAAAAACTATTTCCTGTTATCTGTGCCATCGAAGAAGATAAACAGTGCCGCGGGCGGTGCGACGGGCGGCCGAAGGTAGAAGATGAACAGTGCATAGCGGTTGGCTGAAGGTAGAAGATGAACAATGCACGCAGAGATGAGGTAGAAGATGAATAGTGTCAGAAAAATTCAGGTGTGAAGTTGGGATAAAACATCCCAGTGTCAAACAGACAGACTAAAAAAAATACCATATGTTATATGTACCTATAATAAGTCACTTATAACCTGGAAGGGAGAAAGTAACTGTTTATAAATGAAGTAGCTTTCAGATCCTAATCACGCAACACAAAAATGGAGAAAAGCTGAAATCAGATCCTAATCATGCATGCAACACAGAGGGGAAAAGGCTGAAAGAAACGACGGACGAGTGATGCAGCAGTGTAGGAAGGCACCAACAGAAAAAAAGCGGTGGCCGCGGCCTGCTTCTTTTGTCGTTTGGGGCATCGTCGTCTTTCTCATCTCACGCAGTAGTAGTGTACACGTCATCCGATCCGTCGCGATCACTCCCGGGCCGGCCGTGGTCTTTCGTCTCGTCTCGTTGGTGCGCAAACGACGACGTAACGTGCCCGGTGCCCCGTGCGCGGCCGGCCGGGGATCGTCGATCGTCGCCTGTTCGCTCGAGGCATAAGCCGTATTTTTTAGCTATTTTTTAAAAATAAATCAGTCAACGATACTTTCATCTATGACTTATCAGCGAAAGCATATCGAATTGGATCGGATCGATCGGGGACGGCGGCTACCTGGTGCTTCCTCCATTATATTACTCCTCCAGTGTCCTCCTCAATCCTCATAACTCATTGCTCATCTCATCAACTAGTCTGAGCTCTGAAGGACGACCTGTCGGTCCGTAGCCGCCGGCCGGATCGGAGTCGGAGCTGAGGATCCGAGCGGAGCGGTTCCAGTTCCAGTCCAGCGAGCAGATCCCATCCACTGACAGATGGGTTCCTATTGCAAGGTGAACCCGGCCGATCCATATGCTCAACAATTTCATTTCCGTTCATGTTTCATTCATCTCTTCTCTTAATTAACGCATGGTGTTCTCAACCGATGATCGACGACTGTTTTTATTTTTGGGGCTCCTCCTTCTGATGAATCTGAGCAGGAGAGGAGGAGGTCCCGGTGTACGAGTCAGGCGCCGAGGTGAGTCGCCCGCATCCATCCATCTCCTCTCCTGCTCATCCATATCCATATACGCATCCATCCTCTTTATATTTGTTGGATTTTTGTGCGTCCTCTTCTCCGTAGCTTTGATTTTCCTTTTGGCGAAATGTTGGTATAGTGGGCACCAGATAGCTACCCCTATAGAGCCGTTTCAACATGTCCTATGTATTCGTTTTGTTATTGTCAGTTTAACCAAGTCTATATCGTATATATAGTGCATTAGTTTGTTCAATATTGTAATATAGTATCTATAACCTTAACCAATCAAAGTTAGGAAACTAAAGGGTCCTTATCAGACCCAAATTATTGATGGCCGATTTCTCCTTGCAAGATGACTAGACACACATTAGTTAATTTATTATTGATGAATCTGAGGAGTGAGGAGCCACAACCCACAAATTAGGACTCTGTTGTTGCATCATCACTATCTCAATCTCCCGCTAACATTACTTGAACAACGGTAGAAACCTGCTTAATTAGAATTTAAAAACGACCTATTATGCATTTATTTAATAATGATGGGCAAAACATCCGAGCGCAGGTGCTGCAGAAGGTGCAAGAAAATGGGCGGCGTCGTCCGGGCCGCCGCCGTACCCGGCCATGTACTCGATCGTGTTCGGCGGCATCATCCTGGACCCGGCCATGATGGTGCTCCCCATCGACGACCACATGGTGCACCGGGGCCACGGCGTGTTCGACACGGCCATGATCCTGGACGGCGCCCTGTACGAGCTGGACGCGCACCTGGACCGCTTCCTCCGCTCCGCCGCCGCGGCGCGCGTGGGCACGCCCCCGTTCCCGCGCGACGCGCTGCGGCGCATCCTGATCCAGATGACGGCCGCCTCGGGGTGCCGCAGGGGCTCCATCCGCTACTGGCTCAGCTCCGGGCCCGGGGACTTCCTGCTCTCCTCCAGGGGCTGCCCGACGCCGGCCTTCTACGGCGTGGTGATCGCGTCGGAGTACGAGCAGTGCGGGCGCGACGGGGTGCGCGCCGTCACGGCGACGGTGCCCATGAAGCCGCCGCAGTTCGCCACCATGAAGAACGTCAACTACCTGCCCAACGTGCTGTCCATCATGGACGCCGAGGACCGCGGCGCCTTCGCGTCCGTGTGGGTGGACGAGGAGGGGTACGTCGCCGAGGGGCCCATGGTGAACGTGGCGTTCGTCACGCCGGACAAGCACCTCGTGCTCCCGGACTTCGACAAGATCCTCGGCGGGTGCACCGCCAAGAGGATGCTCGCGCTGGCGCCCAGGCTCGTGGAGTCCGGCCTGCTCGCCGGCGTCAGCGCCAGGAACATCAGGGCCGAGGACGCCAAGCGCAGCGTGGAGATGGCGTTCGTCGGCAGCGGCCTCCCCGTGCTGCCCGTCGTCGAGTGGGACGGCAAACCCATCGGAGACGGTACTTAATCTGAATGGATTGGAATTGATGGCATGGATTGAATCATTGACTGAAATTGGTGCGTGCTTGTGCAGGGAAGGTTGGGCCGCTGATGCAGGCGCTGTCTGATCTGCTGTGGGAGGACATGAGGTCTGGCCCCGACAGGATCCCCGTTCCATACAAGCAGTAGCGACCAATCCCGACAAAACTGTATCTCTGTCACGGTACTTAATTTCCTCGCTGCTTGTTGAATTGGGATTGGTCGACCAAGTGACTCGACTGAATCAAGTACTGTAAGCCGTCACCAGTTTGTCGTTGTGACGAAACGAATGGTGGTTGACTTGACTGAATAATACAGCATGCGAGAGCCTCTCTTTCTATTAGGAGTACATATATATCTGATGAGCCTGTTTCTGATGTCCTTCAGTTTGTTGTTTTTCAGCTCGCATCTTTTTCTTGACTGTGCATGAGTTCTGCTTAGACATGGCGCACCTGTTGCGTGCAGTCGGCAAAATGCAGCGAATCAGTTTTTTGTTTGTCTGATCTGACAACCGCAGAGTAGAGTATATACTACTGGACAGTGATAACATGCCGAGCTCACTGCTCTAGCTGAGCTCGTACAAGTATGCTCGGATTTCAGCCAAAAATCGTATCGTGTTATTCTGACGACTTATATAATCGGAAAATAGAACGGCATTTGATTCTGCCGCGGTAATTTTCGAATTAAATTTTCGGAATGAAAATGGATCATCATTACAAAAGAAGGAAATGAAAACGAAACGGAAATGGCCGGCCCACGACATTTGGGGTGATCCAGGCCCGGACCAATTACTCTGGTCTCAACAGCGTCTCCAACAAGCAACTTATATACGGGCATCAAACTCAAAATGGATAGCGAGAGAGATCCAAAATTATCTTCACAGATAGATTCTATATCGAAGATATATTTTTGGGTTGTCAGGAGAGCACAATCTAAATATGGACATTCTCTTTTCTGGAACCCATTTGAAGAAATGATTCTTTTTTAAATCTTGTTGTTGGAGAAGATGTTGAATAGGTATTGAACTTTTTAACATTAGCGCTACCAAAAAAAAATAAATAAGTCTTAGTATTTTGGGTGTCGTCGTTGAGACAAACTAACGCAGGCAGCTGGTGGTGCCCTGGCAGTGGTCGTCGTCTTGTTTACACCCCCACCCCCACAGGCCACAACCCCCCCCACTCACACTCCACCTCCGCGCCGCACGCACCCCCACCCAGACGCGCTAGGGTTTCCGCACCTCAGTGACTGCAGCCCGATCCGTACCCCCACTCCTACCCCTTCACCAGCGATGTCCACCGCGGCGGCGCAGGGCGGCAGCGACAAGCCGGCGCTCCGGAGGCCCGTCTTCACCAAGGTCGACCAGCTCAGGCCGGGCACCAACGGACACACCCTCACCGTCAAGGTCGTCAGCGCTACCCCCGTGCCCGGCCGCGCGCGCCCAGGCGCACCCGCCGCCGCCCCGTCCCGCGCGCCGCGCATCGCCGAGTGCCTCGTCGGGGACGAGACCGGCGCCATCGTATTCACCGCCCGCAACGACCAAGGTCAATGCTCATCCTCCTCGCCTACTCTCTATCGTTCTCTGCTCTGCTGTGGCGGACTGGATTCCATCACCTGTTCGATCTGACTGCGCTCATCTGCGCCTGCTTTCATGCCATATACATGCATACATAAAACGACTTTCATGTCATACGTACATAAAACGACTAGGGAGGAAGATGAGATTTGCGGCCGTTTCTTGTTAATTAATTAATTGTTCTTATTGTTTTGCACCCACCCACTGAGATGTCAGATGTATTAGTGTGTCATCACAATCCTAGTTGCAAATGCAGTTTTTGTAAAGTTATTATGCTTACTGCCTGTGAATTGTGATGACTATATACAGAAGAAAAGCTGGGTTGTGCTTGGTGTATGGAACCAGCTCATCCTAGATGAGGTGGCACATCATGACTTCATTCCATTAATTTGGTGGAATCAACCCGTTCCTCGTGTCTGTACTAATATAATTATTTGACTTGTGAGTAGTGAGGCGGTGGAGAATCAACTTGTTCTATTCCACAAACCAAACAAAAAAAAAGTAAGGAGTAATGAAATTATGGACTGCCCCATTCCTCAAACCAAACACACCTTTAGTTTCAATTATTATGGATGAGATAGCTGGTAGAAACATTAAGCTCTGCTTAGTTCAAACAAGTGTTTGTTGACATTCCTTTATGTGCGACAGTACGGACAATCAGCCAACCACATACCATCACCAGAGGTCAAAACTAACTATCAACCGTTACTTGTTTCCCCTACCTTTTTGGCCTTTTATGCAGTGCAGTTTAACTGAGTTCAGATGATGTATGATTCTTAACAACTGCACGCCAGCTGCTTGTATAGGTTACTTGTATCTCATGTACTGACACAGTATCTTGTGCATCTACTTTGAATCCAAATAAGCTCAGCAGACCTTCTTTTATGTATACAACAGTACATGCAATCAGCTGACCGTGTGACACATCAGAGGTCAAAAGTAACTATTAGCCGTTACTTGATTCTGTATCTTTGTTTCTTTTTGGCCTTCTTCTGCAGTGCAGTTTAATTGACTTCAGATGCCGTATTGATCTAGACAGCACGCTAGCTACTCATATATGTTGTATGTCATGTACTAACACACTACCGCTCTGCCTCTATTTTGAACCCAAATGAGGATATGCACTTTTTTCCGGGGCTTTGCCTTCCTAAATCTGTATGGATGAAAAATTACATGCCTTAGATGCTATCTTTTGTATTTGCTCTTGTTCTCTGTGGAATATCTTTTCCCTAAGAGTGTTGAGTGTGGTAAAAAATCTCACTTTCATTATTTCTGATAAAAGTTATCATGTTTAGCTGTGATGATTATAGAAGAAAAGCTGGGGAATAAGTGGCAAGACAGCCCCATCTTATGAATTTATTTAGTTCCAGTATGGATGGGATAGCTGGTAGCAAAATTAAGCGAGGCTTAGTTCGGAGAAGAGTTTGTTGACCTTATTTTTTGTACAACAGTACGTACAATCAGCCAACCACGTGTCATATCGGAGGTCAGAACCAAGTATCAGATGTTACTTGCTATCCCTATATCTTATGGCCTTTTTTTCTGCACTGCCGTTTCATTGAGCTCAGATGACGCATCATTGTTAACAACATTACAGTACTCATATACAATGTTCAAAAAGGCGCTGCTAGGCGCTCACCTAGGCCCACTTATGCGCTAGGCGGAGGGGTGCCGCCTCGCCTAAGGGGGTAGGTGGAGGATAGGCTCGGCTGGGAGGAGGTGGGCTGCCGACGCGGCCAAGAGGCAGCAAGCGACGAGCGGAGGCTCAGGCATGATTGGGAGGAAGGCGGGCTGCGGGCGCAGCTGTGAGGGGCGGGCGTGTTCGGCAGCGGCGAGTGCGGACTTAGATGCGGGAGAGGGGGAGGAACCGGCGGCGGTGGGTGCGGACTGAGAGAGAGATGCTGCCATGCGCGGACTGAGAGAGAGATGCGGCCATGCGCGGACTGAGAGAGAGATGCGGCCATGTGTCTGGGTGGGAGGAGGCGAAGGGATAAGGTGTGCGGTTGGGTGAGAGTGAGAGGAGGGTTTTTATAAAGTGTAGGTGGATAAGCTGGGCTGGGCTCTTTTGATGGGCCTTTCTTCCAACTTTATGTCTACAAGTCTCCTATTTCTTCTTTTATTTAAGGTAACTTATGTATGTGTATAAAAATATTAAAACGCCTAGGCTCGCTTAGGCTCTAGGCGGTGAGTCACCACCTAGCGCCTTTTGGAACCTTGCTCATGTAGGTCGTATCTCAGGTACAGATACACTACTGCTGAGCGTCTACTTTGAATTTGAATGAGGGTGTGCTCTTTTTTAAAGGCCCTGCTTACTCAAATCTGAGTGGATAGAAAATGACCTGCCTTTGCAGCTACTTTTTATATTTGCTGCTGTTCTCTATGAAATATCTTTCACCCTATGAGTGAAAAACTGTAAGCCGTTATTTCTGATTATAGTTCATCATCAATGTTGATGGACACCATATAAATATTCTTTATTTGGATTTTGCTGTTGTTACCTGCTCATTTGTAGTGCTGATATCTTTTCTTGTTACTTAATTTTGTGTGTGTGTGTGGGGGGGGTGTCCAAGTGGCATCAAAGTTTCCAAAACGTGGCATTGGTACCTTGATTTAAAGGTTTGCATATTAGTAAGGACGACATATTATCTTTGCTCTATCCATTTGTCAACTGTATGACTGCGTCCCAGAGCGTGTACAGTACATGCAGCACTATTAGCCTACCATGTTTACAATTGACACCAGGATCCTACATTTCCATATACATGCTGCGACCATGTTAAAAGCCATTTATTCTTGACTTGTTTTATCTTTGCTGTCATGTGAACATCATGGTTGATGATTGTTTTGACAGTGCATTTGCCCTGGACTTATGATGTGCTCTCCTTCTTTGCAGTTGACTTGCTGAAGCCCAATGCCACAGTGATCTTGCGCAATGCCAAAATTGACATGTTCAAAGGATCGATGAGGCTTGCAGTGGACAAATGGGGGCGGATTGAGGCTACGGAGCCAGCTAGCTTCACAGTGAAGGAAGATAACAACTTGTCGCTAGTAGAGTATGAATTGGTTAATGTGGCTGACTAACCGCCTGAGCGTTTCTGCTGCCCCTATTTTCGCGCCATAAGAAGGAAGTACCATCAACGAACATTATAAAGCCTCTCGAAGCGAGTTTATTTATTAAGGTTGTATCGCTTGTTTTAGAACTTTGGATCCATTAAGATGAATTGCTGCCTTTGTACTGCCTGTGTTGCTGTGATATGATGGAAGAAATTTTAAGCAGGAAATGCATATGGGGGCACTCAGTAGCACATCAGGGCCGCAGCAACGCTGCAAAATATATGTTGGAAACCACCTACTAGGTGAAAACATGAAAACCAATGTTAAAAGTATATTTTGGTCGTTCAAAAAAATTTAATACTTAACACATCCATAGTTCATACAAATATATACTGACATGCAAAACTTAGAATTCAAACTCGTTTTTTTTAAAAAATCCTATGAAGATGATAAATTTTAGATTCATGTGCACTAAAAGATAAAATTCCTGGATTTCATTTTTTTAGTGCTATGAACCTCATATTTGTCACTTTTGTATGATTTTTTTAGTTGCCATTTTTGTATATTTTTTTAGTTTGTGTTTGCATCTCAACTTTTTTATGAGAATGGGTATTTGTATGCACTACGGATGTGTTAATTTTTTAATTTTTTTTGAACAACCATAAATATTTAAATTGGTTTTCATGTTTATACCTATGGTTTCCGTCGTATATTTTGCCTAACAACGCAAACCTACACTAGCCGTTAGCCCCGAAATAAAGTTCGGTTCCATACGTGCAAGGAAAAATCGAGACCGCAACAGGCTCTTCAACATTTGCTTCTGCTGAGGACCGAGCAAGGCTCGGTTGGCTAGCTGCGCCGGCGTGCGAGCAGCCCATCCGAGTTCGATTCCTGATCGACTCACGTGTCTCACTGTTGTCCAGGATTTCTGTCTCTCGCGCGTGATGCCCCGTCGTCTAAATCAGTTAAGTTTGTTTGCACACAAATAGTATGCGTGTGTTAAATGGACATGTGCGTACGATAAGATGCTACATCTGTACGGCATTAAAAAAACATTTGCTTCTGCTACGTGTGTCTGATAAGAATACTAGTACCGCTCCAGGTCATTACAAACGTCTGCGAGGTCAATATTTTTGGTGACAGAGAACTGGACACACCGGGACACTACGCTACGGCAGCGCAAGAAGTCAAGAGCACAACGTGTTGCGTTGGGGAAGTCACGCAGCGCTATGAACACTGGCGTCTATTGGAATTCCGTGGTTATCCAAAAATTACAATTTTTTTACGGGGTGTGATTTGTTACATAATCTATAGTTTCTTTGCGTGAATACACAGTAAGGGAAGACGACGACGAAAAAGCTTCATACTGTGATACTGTAACCGCTGCAGAGATAGGGCCCGAACGGCTCATATGCTGCACTGTAGCCATAGCAGGGACAGACGCAGAAGTCAGTTCTACTGTGTTATCTAGTCACTGTAGCAGTATAACAGCTGTACTAGGACTAGATAAGTAGAGTTGTATATATAGTTTGCCACTGCAACTCAACAAAGAGAGTTCAGATTTGTCATCTTCTATACAGAGCTCTGGCCAACGCTGGTGCTTGTACTGTGTGTGTGCTCTGTTCTCCCTTCTTTCTTCTACATCTGATTATAGGGTGTGGTCGGACAACGTCTGTCGTGCTCGACCGTGGTCGGCAAGACTAGTGAGTGGTCGACTCACCTGAGCCGGTGATCCAGTGGGCTAACAAGTGGTATCAGAGCCGTACAAGCGCCGTCGCCAGACTAACCGCTGGCGATGACGGACGGTTCGAAGATGGGTGACAGCAGTGGCACTGTTGTGGCTGCCCAACCACGACAGAAGATCGTTGTTCGCACGGTGCGGGAGGTCAGCGGCACCAGTTGACCAACGCTGACTCGCACCAACTATGGAGAGTGGTCGGTGACTATGAAGGTCAAGCTCAGAGACCGACGGCTCTGGAATGCTGTTGACAAGGGCACTGACAATGAGGAAGATGACATGTCAGCGTTAGAGGCTATCCTCGCTGCTGTACCGGCAGAGTACAGGGAGCCATTGGGGGCGAAGAGCTCTGCTAAGGAGGCATGGGAGGCTATTGCAGCGATGCGCGTCAGTTTCGACCGCGCAAAGAAGGCGACGACCTAGCTTCTGAAGCAGGAGTACGTCAACCTCAAGTTCAAGGATGGTAAAACGGTGGAGGATTTCTCCCTCCGCCTGCAGACGCTCATCAATAAGCTGAAGAGCCACGACGTCACTATCGACAAAGAGGAGTCAGTCTCCAAGTACCTCCACTCCGTGCCAGTAAAGTACATCCAGATCACTCTCTCTATAGAGACGATGCTGGACTTGTCCACCCTCACCATTGAGGATGTGACACGCCGTCTGCGGGCGGTGGACGAGCGCCTGGAGCAGGCGATAGCAACGAAGGACAGCGGCAAACTGCTGCTTACAGAGAAGGAGTGGGCTGCTCGGAGGAGGAACTCTAGGGTAGCCTCCTCCAGTCGCGGTGGCGATGGCAAGCGCCGCGGCAAGGTTTCTTCGGAGAAGAAGAAGCATGTCGACCCCAACGCCTGCCGGCGCTGCGGGAAGACGGATCATTGGTCATGGGAGTGCTCAAATCGCAAGCAGGAGAAGAAGGCTGAGGCTCATCTGGCGCAAGCTAATGATGATGATGATACCACTATTCTGATGGCGACGTTCTGTGCACTACACGACGTCGAGGCCGAGGGAAAGGAAGAAGTGACGACGGTGGAAGGACTTGGAAAGGTCCTGAAGGCTGTCAACCTCGATGAACCGTGCGCCCAAGTCCACCTCGGACGTGTGGGCGTCGACTAGGAGCAGCGGTGGTATCTGGACTCTGGTGCCAGCAACCACATAATGGGCTCCAAGGCATCCTTCTCCGAGCTCGACGACGATGTTACCGGTACAGTGAAGTTTGGTGACGGCTCAAGGGTGGCTATCTGAGGGCGTGGCACCATCATCTTCAGGTGCCAGAATGGGAAACACTGCACGCTAACGAATGTATATTACATCCCGCAGCTGCGTTCTAGCATCATCAGCATTGGTCAGCTGGATGAGCGTGGTAGCGAGGTACTGATCAGGGACGGAGTTCTTAGGATTAGGGACTGAGAGCAGCGACTTCTCGCCAAGGTGAAGAGGTCCTAGAACCGGTTGTACCTGCTCAACCTGAAGGTAGAGCAGCTGGTGTGCCTGGCGGCAAGGCACACCGATGAACCGTGGCTGTGGCATGCCCAGTTCGAACATCTCAGCTTCGACGCACTTGGTTAGATGGTGAAGATGGTCCGAGGGCTACCCCACATCAAGCACGGAGACGAGCTATATGCCAGTTGCCTGGCCGATAAGCAGAGGAGGCTACCATTCCTAAAGGCGGCCAAGTATCGCACGGAGGACGCTCTCAAGCTCATCCACAACGACCTCTGCGGGCAGATCACACCAGCCACAAACGATGGTCGGTGGTACTTCCTCCTGCTCGTGGATGATTGTAGTCGCTACATGTGGCTGCAACTCCTGACGAGCAAGGACGAAGCGGCGGCGATGATCAAAAAGTTCAAGATGCACGCGGAGGACGAGAGCAGCAAAAAGCTCCGCGTGTTAAGGACTGATCGCGCGACGAATTCACTTTGGTAGAGTTCGCTGCGTACTGCGCAGATCAGGGTGTGGTGCGCCACCACACCGCACCGTACTCGCCACAATAGAATGACGTGGTGGAGCGACGGAACCAGACAGTGGTTGGCATGGCTCGATCTATGATGAAGGCCAAAGGCATGCCGGCAAGGTTCTGGGGTGAGGCGGTGACCATGGCGGTGTTTATCCTCAACCGCGCTCCGACAAGGCCCTGACGGGCAAGACGCCGTTCGAAGCTTGGTATGGGCGCAAGCCGAGCATGTCCTTCCTCCGGACATTCGACTGCATCAGCCATGTCAGGAAGACGAAGCCGATCCTCACCAAGCTGGAGGATAGGAGCACACCGATGGTGTTCCTGAGCTACGCAGAGGGTACCAAGGTGTACCGACTCTACGACCCACGTGGAGACAAGGTACTTGTCTCGCGCGACGTCATGTTCGACAAGAAGGCGGCTTGGGACTGGAATAGTTCGAGCACGGGGGAAGCTGGCGGCTTTACCAGCACCTTCATCGTCGAGCACTTGGTCATCCACGGTGGTGGAGACGCTGGGGAAGAGGTGCCGAGCACTCCGGGAGGGGTGCCGAGCACTCCAGCAACATAGCCGATCACTCTTGGGGCAGTGCCGAGCACTTCGAGAGGGATGCCGAGCACTCAAGGAGGAGTGCCGAGCACTCCTGGAGGGATGCCGAGCACGCCAGGAGTGGTGCCGGGAGGTTCTGCAGTGATGGCGACCACTCCAGGACGGGTGCCAATCACTCCCATAGCGGAGCTGAGGGGTCTTGCAGTGGTGCCAACCACTGCAAGATGTGTGCCGAGCACTCTGGGAGGGGTGCAGACCACTCCCAGAGTGGTGACGAGCTGTCCAGGAGTAGTGCCGAGCACTACAACCGGGGTGCCAAGCACCCGGTGGAACAGGGAACTCCATCGATGCCGATCGAGTTCGCCTCACCTCCAAGTGACATCAATGAATTCGTGGATGCCTTCCACGAAGGTGAGGAGGTGCGGTTCCGTAGGCTGGATGACATCGTCAGTGGCACAGGGCCCTTAGGCCTGGCTGGTCAGCTGCTCAATGACCAAGAGCTGCTGCTCGTCAGTGCAGAGGAACCACCCACGTTCACGCTGGCGGAGTGTGATAGAAACTGGCGACGGGTGATGCTGGAGGAGATGAAGGCGATCGAGGAAAACGAGACATGGTAGCTCGTCGATCCACCTCTAGGATGCCGTCCGATCAGCCTGAAGTGGGTGTACAAGGTCAAACGGAATGAGCTCGGCACCATTGTCAAGCACAAGGCACGCCTCGTCGCCCGAGGCTTTGTTCAGTGCAAGGGCATCGACTTCGAGGAAGTATTTGCGCTAGTTGCGCGCATGGAGTCTGTCGTTTGCTACTAGCTTTGGCAGCAGCAAAGGACTGACGCGTCCATCACTTGGACGTTAAATCGGGCTTCCTCAATGGCGAACTGCTGGCGGAGACGGTCTTCGTCAGGCAACCTACAGGTTTTGCCATCAAGGGAGCGAAGCACAGGGTGCTCCGACTGCGCAAGGCGCTCTACGGGTTGCGGCAGGCCCCATGAGCATGGAACGCCAAGCTTGACGCCACGCTGGACGAGTTTGGGTTCCAGCGGTGCGCAACCGAGCACACGCTCTACACGCGACGACGGGGGAAGGAGGAGCTCGTCGTCGACGGCGTGTATGTGGATGACTTGATCGTCACCGGCACGTGCAGAGGACATCAACAACTTCAAGCGCGAGATGGCGGCTCGTTTTCGAATGAGAGATCTCGGCGCACTCTCCCACTACCTCAGCATCGAGGTGAGACAAGGGAAGGGGGAACTCACGCTCGGTCAGAGCGCGTATGCCTCGAAACTGTTGGAGCGGAGCGGGCATGGCTGAGTGCAAGCCATGCGTGACTCCGAAGGAGGAGTGGCAGAAGCTGACGAAGGCCAGCACCATGGTGAAGGTGGATGCAACACTCTACCGGAGCATCCTCGGCGGTCTGCGCTACCTAGTCCACACAAGGTCGGACATTGCGTTCGCTGTGAGCTACGTCAGTCGCTTCATAGAAGATCCTAGAGAGGATCACTGGGCTACAGTGAAGCGGCTACGCCGGTTGCTGGGCGAGCTAACCGGTGCGGATGCTCACCCACCAGCACTGATGGTGGACAACCAGCCCGCCATCGCCCTTGCGAAGAATCCGGTTCTCCACGACTGGAGCAAGCACATCGACGTGAAGTTCTACTTCCTCAGGGACTGTGTCGATGAAGGGTAGATCATCATCGAGTTCGTTGAAACTAATCGGCAACTCGTGAACGTTCTCACCAAGCCGCTCGGACGTCTTCGACTCACGGAGTTGAAGGAGATGATCGGCATGGAGGGGGTACAAGTGATAGCAGTAGGATTATGGGAAGAATTGTTAGATAATCTACTGTTTTCTTGTGTGAACACATAGAAAGGGAATGCGGCGCCAAAAAGGCTCCCTGCTGTGGTATTGTAGCCGCTACAGAGGCAGGCGCCGAACGGCTCACCTGACGCACTGTAGCCACAGCAGGGACATGCGCAGAAGTCAGTCATGCTATGTTATCTAGTCACTGTAGCAGCATGACAGCTATAATAGGACTAGATAAGTAGAGTTGTATATATAGTTTGCCACTGCAACTCAACAAAGAGAGTTTAGATTTATCATCTTCTATACAGAGCTTCGGCCAACGCTGGTGATTGTACTGTGTGTGTGCTCTGTTCTCCTTTCTTTCTTCTACCTCTGACCATAGGGTGTGATCGGACAACGTCTGTCGTGCTCGGCCGTGGTCGGCAAGACTGGTGAGTGGTCGACTCACCTGAGCCGGTGATCCAGTGGGCTAACATGATTTAAATTGGACAATATATAACAATAACAATAACAAATACAAATGTTGTTTGGCCAAGAAAGGAAAGGAAGGCCCTGCGGTTGCCAGTCCACTAATTTGTTACCTGACTCCTAAAAAAAGCAACGCTTGTGTTGGAGGCCAGGACATGCGGTTTGAGGAGGCTACGGAAACGGAGGCCTCGCAAGCATCTCAGGCTCGGCTCCGGCGATATGGCCGTAGAGGGCGGCGGCGAGCATGAGCATGAGCATGAGCATGAGCATGAGCATGGCAGGGACAAGGAGCACGAACACGATGAGGCGTCGGTGGAGGCACTTTTCGCGGGGCAGTCGCCGGCGCCGTGGTGGCGGCAGGTGACGGTGCGTTCGGTGATGGCGAGCGTGTTCATCGGCGCCGTGTTCAGCTTCATGGCGATGAGGATGGGGCTGACCATCGGCCTGGTGCCGTCCTTCAACATGTCAGCGAGCCTGGTGAGCTTCTTCACGATCAGCTCGTGGACGCGGCTGCTGGGCCGCTGCGGCGTGGCCACCCAGCCCTTCACCCGCCAGGAGAACGTGGTGGTGCAGACCTGCGTCATCGCCTGCGCCACGCTCGCGCTCTACGGCGGCTTCACGTCCTTCCTGCCGGCCATGTCGGCGCCCGTGGCGAAATCGGCCGGCGGCCCAGGCACGGGCAACAACGTGTACTCGCTGCATCTCGGCAAGATGATGGCATTCAGCTTCCTCACCGGCTTCACCAGCTTGTTTATCACGCTCCCATTGACCAAGGTCACCATCTGATCTGGTACCTTGAAGAACAAACAAATGATCTTGCAATGCAATGCAATGCAAACAAGCCGTTGATGATTTGGCTGGCTGCACGTACACGCAGGTCATGATCCTGGACTACAAGCTGCTGTTCCCATCCGGTTCGGCGATAGCTGGACTTGTCAACAGCTTCCACACGCCAGCGGGCGCAGCAACAGCAAAGTAATATGAACAAACACATGCAGCATCTTTTCATCAATCACCATTAGTATTGGTTGGTTATTGTGACAAATCTGATAATCAGATAATGCCTTTGTGATATTGTAACAAATTAAACCTATGTGTTAAATGATATATTTGTTGTCTAAATTAAAGATTGCAGATAGCGACTCTGCTGAGATCTCTAGGAGGAAGCTTCAGCTGGGCGGTGTTCCAGTGGTTCTACACTGGAGGCGACGGCTGCGGCTTCCAGGCTTTCCCTCTCTTCGGCCTCGAGGCCTACAAGAAGCGCTTCTACTTCGACTTCTCTCCCAGCCTCGTCGGCATCGGCATGATCTGCCCCCCCATGGTCAACTTCTCGCTGCTCTTCGGCGCCGTCGTCTCCTCGGCGATCCTCTGGCCCATCCTGCAGGGCAAGGCGGGGACATGGTACGACGCCAAAGCCTCGCCGTCCAGCCTCAAAGGACTCAACGGCTACAAGGTGCCCATGGGCATCTCCTTGGTGCTCGGGGACTGCCTCTTCCAGCTCACCGCCGTCAGCATCAGGACAGCACGGAGCTTCCACCGTGCCCAAGGCGGCGGCCAGCAGGATTCCGCCGCCGCCGACGATCATCAGTCCTTGTCGTACGACGACCGGCGCAGGATCCACAACTTCCAGAGCGAGGGGATGCCCATCCATGTCGCGCTCGCAGGCTACGCGCTCCTGGCAGCCATCGCCACCGTCTTCCTCCCCGGCATCTTCCCGCAGATCAGGTTCTACCACGTGGCCGTGTGCTACGCCATCGCCCCCCTCATGGCGTTCTGCAGCTCCTACGCTTCCGGCCTCACAGACTGGTCTCTCGGCACCATCTACGGCAAGCTCGCCATCTTCGTCTTCGGGGCGTGGGTCGGTGAGGCGTCCGGCGGCGCAATCGCCGGCCTCCTCGCCGGCGGCGTCGTGGTCGTCGTCATCGGCAACTCCTCCGAGCTCATGCACGACTTCAAGTCGGCCTACCTGACGCTCACCTCGCCGCTGTCCATGTTCGCCAGCCAGGTGATCGGCACCACGCTGGGCTGCATCATCAACCCGCTCCTCTTCCTCGGCTTCCAGGAGATGGCCGGTGGCAAGGACCACCTGGGGGAAGCTGGGTCGCTCTACGCCGCACCCATGGCCATGGCGTACCGCGGCATCGCCGACCTCAGCGTGGAGGGCATGAAGATGCTCCCCAAGCACTCCTTCATGCTCTGCATACCTTGCTTCCTCGTGGCGCTGTGCTTCGACGCCCTGGCGGCCATCGCCACAGCGAACGACTGGAGGATCAAAGGCTACGTCCCAAACATCATGGCCATGTCCATCCCCTTCTTCGTCGGACCGACCTTCGCCATAGACATGTGCCTGGGAAGCCTCATAGTCATCTTCTGGAGGAGAAGGAATAAGCAAACAGCAAACCTGCTCTCAGTTGTGGTGGCGTCTGGTTTGATCTGTGGCGACGGGCTCTGGGCGCTGCCATCTTCGCTCCTCGCCATCTTCAAAGTCGAGCCGCCTATCTGCATGAAGTTCCTGTCCATCTACCAGACTGAACAGATCCGCAAACATTATCCTGACATTGGTATTGTAAATTAGAACTTACTTATTCTGATTTCTATGTAAATTAGCAAACATTATCCTGACATTGGTATTGTAAATTAGAACTTACTTATTCTGATTTCTATGTAAATTAGAATATGAAAGTACAATCAAGCTCTAATTATGGGTTTTGTTGATAATGGCCACACAATTAGAGAACTAATGAGATTTATCGAGATGACAAACAAAAATTTATATTCGAGGATGTTACACGAAACGGAGGAATCCCCCATCACAAATGTTGATGGCTTCAAATTCAAAGGAGGTTTAAATTCTTTTATATTTTGAATTTGAGTGTAGGAAAAATCATATTATAAAGGAGACACAATGCTTAAACTAACATGTGCTACCAGGTGCTCAAATATAAACATGTATCCTCAGATTCACAGCCAAGACAGCCTAAACTTCACTCTTACCCTTGCTGTCTTGACTGGTGCGGCACTGCCGCACTTGAAGAGAGACACTGCCGCAGTGCGGCACTGTCGCACTTAAGCCGTGGCACTGCAGCGACTTAAGTGAGCGTTGGGTCTGAGGGGTATTTATACCTATCCTCTTCCTCCTCAACGGCTATCTTCTTCCTTCTGCTCATTCTAGCTCATCCAAAACAGAAAATGAGCGCTCTCTCTCTCCCTCCATTAGTGACCTTGAGCCCTCAAGCAAATCCATTGATTTCTCCATCAATTCTTGAGAGAAAAGGGTCCAAAACTCGATTATAGAGCACCTCCATTGATTCCTCAACTCAAAAGAGCACTTGGTTCACGTTTTAGCTGACGGTTCTGTTTGTTACTCTCGGAGCTTGGCTCCTAGCCGACTAGAGCGCCGTCCGTGGAGCTTGCCAACTTATGTGGCAACCTCGGAAGTTTGTAACCATCACTTAAAACTAGTAAACTCACCCATCGTCTCAAGAGTTAAGTCTCTTGACTTAAGAACGAGGAAGGGTTGGAAAGCCTTAAGTCTTAGTGACTAACCTCAACAACGTGGATGTAGACAAGCATTGGTGACAAGCCAAACCATGAGATAAATCATTGTCTCTTGTGCTTAATTTATATTACTTGCATGTCATATTGTTGTTGAGGTGATTTCTAGTATTTCTAGTCGATCTACTTGTGTGTGGTGTTCCTACTACTTCTAGCTCTCAATCTATGACTATCATACATGCAGTAAGTTGAGAAATTTCTCCGATCTAAGTTTCCGTTCACTGATTTTGAATTATGACTCGAAGCTGTCTGCAGGTGCGACAATGCCGTTGTTCTGGCCCGGCAGTGCCATAGTCCAGCAGTGCCACCCGTCAGAAGGGCAGTGCCACAGGGTGAAATTGATAAAAAATTGAGTGTTTGTTTTGTCAGGCCTATTCATCACTCTAGACCAACCGGAGATCCTGCAGAATCTGACAATCATATTGTCCAAGAATGAGAATGGATTGTTTAGTTGTCACACTACTTGTTTTCCGAGATAAAATGGGCTTCATAGCTCTAGTCTAGATAAAAAAAAGCTCGCACCAACAGATAAAATAGCACCCCTCCCTGTAAGCTCCTCAATCACCAGACTATGACGAAGAATCAAACCAAATAAATCAAGTGTAGGTCTTACTTCTACAAACATTTAGCCCCTGCCGTAGCTATCATTACATAGGCCATGTTCGCTTCTCTTATAATCCGTCTTTTTCAGCTTGTTTTTTCAAGCGGAACAATGTTTCGACTTATTTTTTCAGCGAAGCGAACATGGCCTAGTCAATGAAACACATAAAAAGGGTCAGAGCATCATACAAAGATCTAGTTTATTAAGTCATCATCACAGTTCACATAAAGATAAAGAAAAGCAATATCTCATATTTGTTTTCTTTCATCAACTCTTCCTGATTCCTGCAGGCACAAGAACTCGATACACAACTGATCTCCTGGTACCTAAACCACCCCCATGGTCCGTCATACTCCATCAGTTTCAGCTGTTGTAAAAAAAAAAAAGATTAGTTTGTAAAAGCTGTTCTACAATTCAAGAGAACATATTTAATATCACCAATGTTAGTACATTACATTGCTCAAGGGTCTTTGTGTAATATAGTTTCCCCAGTAGAGCAGGTTGCAATCCATACAATTTTCCCTTTTCAGTACTACAATGCAAAGCTAACTACACTCTTGACTAATAAGATAACTGATAAATCATGAAAACAGTTCATGGACTCTTACATCAAAGGGAAGTGTACCATGGCCAGCTAACTGCTATAAACTATGAAAAGATCTATAGAAACATTTTCTTATCCTTGCAGTATTTCTCAAATCAATTTCCCTTCATCTTCAACAGTGAATTTGGAACATCTATAAACAAATTTATATAATTTTGTACCAGAGCCAATTTTATAAACGGTGTCAATGACTCAACGCATTCTTGAATGCGGACTTGGCCATCTGCGAGTCTTTCACTGTATTTGATAACACATCATCTGGTAATATATACTGCTACCATCCTTTTTGTGGAGATACAAAACTCTGAAAGGTCATTGGTAGACAAGTTTGTGGAGCAACCATTGTCCTCCACCTACGCATTCATATGCGTTCTTTTGAAAATCAGGTATACATTTCAACAAATTTATTAGCTGACCTGGGTGATAATTTGGTGAAACTAAAGTATGCTTGCAACCAACATTCATAAGCAAAGTACTCACAGGTCAGAATAGCGTTCCTAGTCATCTAAGGTTGTTTGTGGCATAAGATTCAACTCAACAGCAATTAATCGAAACTGGTGGAGGTATTCTAGTTCAACAATTTTATTAGCTGACCTGGGTGACAATTTGGTGAAACTAAAGTATGCTTGCAACCAACATTCATAAGCAAAGTACTCACAGGTCAGAATGGCGTTCCTAGTCATCTAAGGTTGTTTGTGGCATAAGATTCAACTCAACAGCAATTAATCAAAACTGGTGGAGGTATTCTAGTGGTCACCTTTCCCCGGCTGCTCTTCATCTAGTTTCATCAGATCCTACAGCAAGAAATGAAAAGAAATATAGGAAATGCCTCTCTTCCAAATTGACAAACTAGAAATAGGACTGGCGAATGATGCCACCATGGAATTATACACATTAACCTAAATTATGGAAGCACAGCAGAGCATTGTGATCTAAACTTGAATGGCTAAAATACTAGGCTACAGATGCTGAAGGAACGAGTAAAATTGTTATGGGCACATTTGGACAGATGTTAACCAAGGCAACACAGTGCATGTTCTCAATTGCACGGAGGAATGAGCTATGTCAATCAGGTAATTACACTGCGAGCTTGCTCCGAAAGCAGTGCAGCCTCTCTGACTATCAATTGAAGTGCATTTGAAGATCGAAGTAATTGCTTTTGTATTTTTACCTTGGGTGAGCCAGCCGAGGCCTCGGCCAGGAGCGGCGAGCATGGACGTCATCCGTGCACTGGCGGTGGCGGTGTGCAGAGGCAGAAGCGACTCCACGCAGAAGCTCGACTCGACCGGCGACCTGAGAGAGGAACAAGTCCTATCACTACCGCGCCAGTCGTCCACTACTCCGTGTCTTGCTTGCTATATCGGGGGCAGCAGAGGAGCGGCGGGCGGGGCCGTACCTGAGGAGGCGAGGAGGAGCAGCCAATGCGCGCCGAAGAGACGGACGCGTCGTAGCCGAAGAGACCGAGGACCTCGCGGTGGCGGGGGCGGCGCGGAGAAGGGAGGCCGACGAGCGGAGCAGCGACCTGGCGGCGGCCATCGTGGTGGGGCGGCGCGGAGGAGATGGGGTTTTCCGGTCAGCTTGTGCTGCCGGTGGCAACTCTGTAATTCTGACGATGGACTGGAGTGGGGGAGTCGTCGGTCTGGGCTTAAGATGGGCCTCGTGGGCTGTTCGGCTCGGCCCAGTGGTATGGTATAGTCTCACGCGCCACGGCCTCGTTGGTTCCAGGAAGCCAAGCTCTTCCTTCCCCTCGGCGGCTGACCCTAGCTCCTCGGCGGCGTCCTCTCGTAAAGTGGCTCGCAGCCTCGCCGACCCCGCGAGCGCGATGAGGGTGAAGGTGATTTCGCGCTCCACCGATGAGTTCACGCGAGAGCGCAGCCAGGACCTGCAGGTAGGCGACCCCAGATAAGATGCTCCTAGCTTTTTAACCAATTTGTCAATTAAGATATAGCCTCTTGCAACTTCCATTGAGGGGGTAAAACCTCGCATTCTCTACACATTAAGTTTCTGGATCGAGTGTCAGTTTGCTGTTTCAGCGTAATAACCATATGATTTGAAATCTTCAGCATGTACTGTAAACAAATGTTGTACATAATTGGATGCCACTTACAGCACACTAGTTGAAGTCTTCCAAATATGGCCCCATTGCATTTCAAGCATTTAGTCTTAGAATTTTACTTTCCTCCACTGACGTTCTCAATGGCACTCGATGGTCTCAACAGAAAGTATTCCGCAACTATGATCCAGCGCTTCGTAGTCAAGAGAAAGCTGTTGAATACACTCGGGCACTTAATGCTGCAAAGTTAGAGAAGGTATGCTGCTTCTTCCTTCCCTGCACTCATGTTTTGTTTATTTACTTTCTATATATTGGGACGATAATTCTTCTGCTCTCCTTGTGCAGATATTTGCTAAGCCATTTGTTGGAGCTATGAATGGGCATATTGATGCGGTATCATGCATGGCGAAAAACCCCAATCATTTGAAAGCAATATTTTCTGGTTCAATGGATGGAGGTACTTACCTACTTCTCGAAAATCTTTTATCTTGCTGGTTGTGTCCCCACAATACTCCTTGCTTCTTGAATGAATCGAATCAATCAATTACTTTTATTGTACAAGTACACACTACAGACTTACGGTGTTGTCACTTTTAGTGGCAGCCTTTTTGGTGATACTAATGAGAGATTGTATTCCTGAGTTCGTTTCCATCTTTGTAACTGGCTAGCTGCTTCAAGTGAACTCTTGACATTCTTCTCCTGCATAGACAAGTAGACAACCTCCCAGTCCTCATCTTCTAATTATATATTGGTTCAGTGACA